TTTTTTTTCTTTCTGTATGTATTTGTTACAGATTCTCAGTATGCAGCTCAAACTCATAGTGATCCTCCTGTTTCAGCCTCCCCAGGGATGGGATTACAGGCATGCACCACCATGCCTGGTCTTGGTATGTGGCTTGACATGCCTGGGGCAGGGCCAGCACAGCATGTGGTACCAAGGATCAGACCCAGATCCTTATGCTTGTGTAGGTAGGCATTTAGGCTGCTGAGTTATCTCTGTGGCCCAAATTTCTGGAATCCTGACTTATATGCCTTGGTATAGAGTTCTTGTTTTAGAATTATAGCTAAGTAGCATTTTATATGCCTCACTTATCTGTATATCAAATTGTTTTCCCCTGCTTGGGAAATTTTCTGCCACAAATTCTGTGAACAGATTTTTATGGTATTTATGCAACCTGCTGCTTTTTCATTGAATCTACTCAGTCTGTCATTCTTCTTTGCATCATCTAGCAGCAGCTAGATTGATTTCTCATGGCCCATTGCTATTTTTAAGAAATTTTCACTTTCATGATTGCTACATGCAATCCTGCCATCTATGTCTGAGACTCTGTCCTCACACTGGCTCATCCTGTTGTGCATACTTGCAATGGAATTTTTAATTTCCTGGATATCTGCTTGAATCTGTTTCATGGATTCTATTTCTTTCCCATGTGAGGTGTTCATGCTTTCCATCACTTTTCTAAACTCCTCTTTTTTTACAGCTCTATCTGTTCCAAAGCCATTAAGCATATCTTTTACTATGGTCACTGTCTCTGAAGTTATCTGAGAAATTATTTCTGATTTGATTTTTTTTCCTACAAATTCATTCATGTATTTTGTCACTTCTGCTGTAACCAGTTCAGAGAGACCAGGTGGGTGACTTTTGATTTGTTGAACATCTTTGCTTCCTTAGTTTGCCTTTGGTGAGCTGGAAGTCTGGGGTTGCATCTTCTTTAAGTGTCTTCTTTTCTTTCCTTTCTTTTCTTTTAGTTTAATTCCCAGGTTGATGCTTGTACATTGCTTATAGTGAGTAGCTATATTGCTAGTATTTAGAAGCCTTAGGAAATGACTGCCTCTCAGAGATGTCTTCTAGTTGTGGCAGGCTTTTTGGCCCTGAGTCTTTTGCAAGATCCCATGTCTTGTATTTATTGGGGAAGAGAAGTTTCTGCTTGTTTGGTTCTTTGCCATTGGTCTGGTTCTTTGCCATTGGTCTGGTTCTTTGGCATTAGCCTATAGTATTGTTAATGACCTTTAGGAAATTTAAGTCTTGGTATACCAGGAAAAACAACTAATTAGAACAACTACTCTGGGCCAGGGAGATAGCTCAGTAGAATAAGCACTTGCCTGGCAAGCACAAGGGCCTGAGTTTAATCCCTGGTTACAAAAAAAAAAAAAAAAAAAAGGACAACTACTCACCTTGGGGAAAGTGCTACAACCAGCAATGACAATAGTGTCAGTGACACTAGAAAATGACACACTGTGGGAATTATTAATTTTCCTTCTTTAACTATATGAACTCGATTTATGATAGTATAAGAAATTTTAAAGTGATCCAGACAACTGTATACAGTAGATAAGGCCTCAATATGATAATTTATACCCTCAGAGAAGAACATTCAAAATAGATTAGGGGGAAAATAGCGAATTAGAATTAAAAGAAAGGAGGAAGAGGAGGAAGAAGAGAAGGAGAGACATAAAGCTAGTCTGGGAGACAAAGGAAGGTTATGCAAACCTAGAAAATTGGTGAAGAAGACAGGAGGGAAAAAGAAATAATGGAACAAATAAAACAAGAATAGTACTTTAACAAAAAGCTAGAAACTGGTCACACTAGTACAAAAACAAGAACAATTAAGAAAAATAAAATCAAAAACAAGAAAAGGAAATAAAAATGTCTACTATAAGCCATATCTCTCATGAACCTGGTAAACAATGTGGGCAGATAGCACCCAGATCTGACTTGATAATTCCAGCAAGCCAACCATAGCTTTATGGTGGGGCAGTAAATAATCCCAGGAACCTGATTCTACTGAAGTACAAGCTGGTTTCTGGGTGTAAGGCTGGAAGCCAGTCTGTTCAGCCAGCAACATGCCATGCACCTCCTGCTGGCTTGAACCCAGCACCTGAATCTCCTGCTGACTTGAACTCCGCAGACTTAACCCTATTCTGGACTCACCACATGGAGCCAAACCACAGTTCTGAGTTCTGAGCTTGGAAACAGCCCAATGTCCATCAAGTGATGAATAGACAAAGAAGATAGACTTCTTTTTAAAAATACAATGGAGTACTACTCTGCCATATAAAGAATAAGTTTGAGATATTTGTAGCTAAATGGATGTACCTTAAGACCACATTCTTAAGGAAAACGAATCAGACACTCATGTGCAAATAACACATGATTTCTCTGGTGTGCAAAACAAAAGGTATAAATAAGGGCCAAAATATATAATAGATATTGGGATTGGGAAGAAAAAGTTCAAAAGGCAAGGAGAACAAGTAGTGGGAAGAAAAGAAGGGACAAAAATAAAAATAGAAAAAATTGTGACTAAAGAGGGCAAAGGAGGTGAAAGGAGAGAAGGGAAATGGGTAAAAAGGAAGAATTAGCATGTTTCATGTACAGGTACAAATTCCCTATCATGAATGTGATCATTCTATACATCTAAAATGTACCGATGAGGGGCTGGAGAGATGGCTCAGTGGTCTAAAGC